CAGATAGGAATTTTTCAAGCACGAAAATCAGAGAAGACCAATGCAGAAATTCCACGCTGTTTTATGCCTATGTTCACATACATTAAACTGCTATGCAGTGAACACTCTTAACAGCAAGCTTCCATTAGACAGAAGTTTATCTTATCAGCTGTTCTTGCCTCTCACTTTTTTGTAAAAACCAACGAAAGCTTGTTTCTGTTCACTGCTACAATACAGGTACTTCCTCTTATACCGCTACATGGTCCAGTAACGCTCGTTCGAATTCGAAGTATTTTGGAGGAACATGAAAGACTATATGGCAATGGCGCAGATATCAGTATGGTTCCGGATCTGAATCCTGCTCATAAGGTGCGACTCGACTGCTTTTTTCTCGCATCGTTTTTTAAACCAAGTTATTAAAACGTGAAGAATTTTGGCGGAAAGGCGGAAAGACATGCATAGCCTTAAATTATAATTGAACTTATGCGTTTTTATGCGTTTCTGCTCTGCAGTGGTATTGCCGAGGGATCGTCCGTGTGTATGTGTTCGCAAGCGAGTGAATGTTGTCGCCCACTTTCAACTCAGCAACCACGAAAACTAGGACGCTGAAATTTTGGGGACATATTTCCATTCCGTATGTCATTCTCTCCCCTTCCTCCTTCTTTACAATCTTCGCTCTTACGCGCTTAGACCTCACGTGCAAACCGCCGAAAAAATATGCTAATTTCGTGGGCAAAAAATGATTTCGCGAACCAGGCAAGGCAGAATGCTAAAAATTTGCTGGGACATTCTCTGGGCCTGTTTCAGCTATTTCAAATTCAGCTACGGCGCGGCATATACTTCGTGTACAATATCGCAATTAACAATGTACTAACTCGAAAACTGGCTAGAAAGCAGTGGCTCAGTTTTGTTAGAGCATTTATCATTCATATTGGAAATCATACATCTAGACTGAGTTCCGATTTGCTTGCACCAAAACGTAGGGCACTTCAAAGATATTTGCAGCGAAGTGGTTATTGCGCAAGCTGTGAGGTTGGAACTTTGCAAGGATACTCTATATTCACGTCTGGTCTTAATTCAGCTTGGAGGGTGAAACTCATACTGGCTGTGTTTGAATACAGCGCAGGACTATGCCTGCTGTTAGCCATCTGCAAGCTTAGCGCGAAAAAGCATGATCGTGCTGGCAAGCCTGGTGCTTTGTAGCCTGGATTGCATATTATGCAAATGCTGCATTTTGGCAGAATGCTCTCTCGTTGTATGTGTGTGTGTCTGTGTGTTCGTATCCTTTGCCATCCACTTTAAACTCGAGTGAAAAAGCGATCTCGAAGCTAGATAAGATACAGAGCTGAAACTTTACAAGGGTATTTTCTGTGCATTTGAAAGCTAAAGATTTCGAATTCAACCCCTAGGTATGCATAGCCCTAAAGTACGATTACGTGAAAGTTTTGGCGTGAAATTTGCTCACTGCACAGATTGGTCATTTTTAAAGAACGGCTGCTGAACTTCCCTTTATGTAAAACTTACGATGATTTATAGGAGTGATGTGAAACAATAATTATTCATGCAGCTAAAGACCTGTCTGCTTTAAACCTAATGCAAAAACGCATAATCGTACCGATAAGCCTGGCTCTTTCCAACTTGTATTATCGCACTGGCATTCTGAGCGAATGGTCTTGCGCACTGACTTGATTCTGTATCATCTTTGATTTCAGGCGGATTTTTACAAAACGAAAGAAAGTATTCGGGTAATCAGTATGTCGTTGCCCATCCCTGAACCGTACGAATATGAGCAAAGAAGAATGCTATCCACGACTGCTGCGCCGCCATCTGCTCAAAATATATCCCAGGAAGATGGATCAACGTAACTGCTTTTATTTGCTTTTACAGAAAACAATCAATTTCCAAATTTGTCTTTTACTATTTTAGGCTTACGCGAGATGAAATAAGATTCATCATCGAAAATTTGGCAAAAATGGGGGCAGAGCGAGCGATGGGTACTGCATCATCTCGTGGCGCACAGCAACCTTACGAGTGATAACTTTTCAATTTCGGTTTTTATGCGTTTTTGCAGCTATGCAATGCAGAAAACGCGTATTGACGAGGGGTTGTCTGTGTATGTATGTCTGTGTGTCTGTATGTCCGTGCGTGCGTCTGCCACGCATTTTCATCTCAAGACGCAAAAAAGCTACAGGGCTGAAACTGCGGGAAATTAATCTACATGCGCGTACGGACCCCAAACCCCAAAATGGGCGCCATTACCTGCGTGATACCCACGTAACAGCCGGCCAAAGCCTTTTACGAGTAAATTCATAACTCGGGGATCTGAGAAGCTAGAAGACTGGAATTTTGAAGGGATGTTTTCTGACAGTCCTGGCAGCCCGTCTGAAATTTTTTTAGCTAGAAGCATCTGCTGGAAAAACCAGTGCCGTTAGCGGCAAAAATCTGAAGCTATGCAAAAAACGCATCTTCGTTCAAGTGCAGCCCGTGCGCTGACCAACTATCTGAGTTTCGGTTTCATATTTTTATCATAAGTCATTTTAGGCCTCCGTGGGATACAAGGAATAAATTCGTCGAAAGTGTAAGGAAAATGCTCGCAGAGCGAACAGTGGATACTACTGCATCTCCCCGTGGCGCGCGGCCACGTAACGAGTGATAACTTTTCAATTTCGGTTTTTATGCGTTTTTGCCTATATGCAAATTGCAAAAACGCATATTGGTGTATATGTGTCTGTGTGTATATGTGTGTGTGCATGTTTGTGTGTGTTCGTCTGTCCGTGTATTTCAACTCGGCAACCAAGCAAGTTCCAGCGCCGAGATTTTGCTAATGGTTACCCCGGCCAAGTACCCCCCAGAACCGCGGCACCATCCCTCACGCACGTCTGGGCCCCCCGTACGAGGGGGGAAAGTAAAGATAGGAGGCTGAAACTTTGGCAATATGTGCCCATACCATGCGCGACCCTCCCATTTTAATATCATCCCCTTCGGACGCCTGGGCACCGGGTACGGGCACGTTAAAAAAATATGCAAATTTTTTGGCTGGAGGGCGATCTCGGGAACCACACGAGCTAAGGGGCTGAAACTTTGTAGCGATATTTCCTGTGCATGTACTGGCCAGAGATTTCAAATTCAGCCCCCAGGTATGCGTGGCACCCACGTAAGAGCATATAAAAGTTTTAGGGGGAAAATTGCTAACTCGACAGCTAGGAAAGCTGGAAGGCTGAAATTCTAAAGCAATATTCCCTGCCCAAGTACAACTTAAATATTTCAGATCCAGCTCTCAGGTGTGCATGGTACTCACGTAAGGGCGTATGAAAGTTTTATTGGGGAAATTACTAATTCGGAAACCAGGAAAGCTGGAAGGCTGAAATTTTCAGGGAATGTTTCTAACCCATATACGACTTAAAGTTAGCAAACTCAGCCCCCAGTGATCCGTGGTTCTCACGTATGGCCCCGTAAAATTTTTTGGTGGGAAAATGGCTAACTCGGGGACCAGGAAAGCTGAAAGGCTGAAATTTTCAGGGGACGATCCAGGCACGAGTACGACACAAACCTATCAAATTCAATTCCGAGTCGTACGTGGTTCTCATGTACGGCCTCGTGAAACTTTTTTGGCGGGTAACTGACTAACTCGGGAACCACAAAAGCTTGAATGCTAAAATTTTAGAGGGATATTCTCAGTCTGCATGCAACTTAAAAATCCCAGACCCAGCCCCCAACTATGCTCTTAGGTCACGTGCAGCGCTGTGAAAGTTTTGGCGGGAGACTTGCTAACTTGAGAACCAGAAAAGTTGGGAGACTCAGATTTTAGGAGAATATTCCCCGTCCAAATAAAACTTAAATCTTCAAATTCAGTCTTCATTTAACGTGATTTTCGCCGGGCAATTAAATTTCTGGCGGGAAAATTACTCATTGAACAGTTGGGTTACTTTCAAAAAACACCGTTACACAGAAATAGTTTGTTTCTTTTTATGCAAAATTTACGATGATTTTCGGCATTAAGCAACAAGGTAGGTGTGAAGAAACAACCGTTCATGCAGTTACCCAATTCAAGTTTTGTGCAAAACCGCTTGATCGCACCTGCTCGCCTGGTGCGTTCCAGCCTGGGTTTGAGCTTCGGTTTCATACTTTTATCATAAGTCATTTTAAGCCTGTGGAGGATTCGACGAAGGAATTCGCC